TGGTGAAGTTTTGTGGTGCTGTGGCCGGTGGTGCAGTGGCGCGGTGGTGCTGTGGTGTCTGGGGTCTTTGGTCCGTTATGGGAGAGGTAAAAAGGTTTTCCGCGATCGGTATATAAAGCGAAATACAACAACCTGGGCGGCTCAGTTGCCGTCGGTCCCAAGTTAATACTCCACGCGATCTCCGCCGAAGTTGGTCCGAAGATTTGGCCGATTTGCCCGAGATAGTCACCCGGTTCATTAGGGGAATTGGATTTGGAATTGAAATTGAAAGTGCTTTGTTGTCTTCGACACTCGACACTCGAGCTGGGTGTTGCCAGCGAAGGCCTTTTGCGATTGCATTCAGGGCTTAATCGATTTGAAATAGCTGGTCCCACAAAAGCCAATCAGCGGATACAATTCAACATGAAAGTGGTATGTGATGTATATGTATGTATATGTCGGTGGGTGGGTGGTAAATACCAAAGGTCGTTCGAGAAGCTCAATGCGTGGCTGCAAAAGGGGTGTATATAACTCAAGAAACTCAGATTTATGGAGGGGAGGTACTGATCTGTAAGCTTACGTCATTGCACTGCGACGGCGACTGTTGTGCAAATGTGGCATAATTTGCTATGCAAATCGAGCGAACAGTTAATTTGCTCCCAGCCCCGATCGCAATTGTTCAGCTTGGCTACAAGCGACATTTTCCAGCTCTTTGTGCCCGATCCAGTCCACCATCCACTCCACTAGGCACCCAATTTGGTAACTGGATTTTGACATAATTTATGAACGACGCAGCTTCTTGAGAAAAAAGTTGCAGGAACTTCAATCAGCACAAGTGGCGAACTAACAAGCTCGCTTCAGCCGCATAGTTTTTCCCCCTCCATTTACATCGTGAAAATATCAAAGGCAAACTTTGGCTCAGTTCACACGCGGCAGTCAGCTTTTTGGTCAGTTTTTGGCTGGTTTCGGCGCATACTCGGGGGACCCACAGCATGTCGTGGCCTGGATGTATCAGTAACTGTATCTGTCTCTGTCTCTGTATCTGTATCTAACTACCTGTCCGTCCACCTGTCCGCACCAAGGCTGCGGCACATGGAGCCTAGATAGTGAAAGGTTTCGGCATGCGGAATGGTCCGAACGTGCTAAAAAAACAAAGTCCGAAATGCCAAAAAGGAGTAAAAGCCAAATAAACCAGATAGCTCTCAAGTCTGGTCATCGAAGTTAATTTGCTCCCCTTAATGTATGTTAGAGAGGCATCATTTTTTGAAAGCCTAACATTCTGATTCTGTTTGGTTTTTCAAGGCAAAACTGTCTGGAAAGGAAGCTAAATCGAGGCCTTATTGACACACATCCTGCAATTTAAGTTAATTGTTTTAAGAAAAACTGCTTTAGCAGAAAATACTGGCACTCCTTCTGACAAGCTTCAATTCGAAAAATAAATTAGATAAACCTAAAAGCTGGAAGTACTAGGAAAACTCTAATGTATTCTCGGAAGAGATAATTTTTTAGTTTAATTTGGTAATCATTTTTTTGTGTGAAAGCTATGTATATATTTGATTATTACTCCTCTAGTTCCCTCTGTGACTCAGTGATTTCTCGCAAATTTCTTTGGCATTTGCTTCTGTTCACTGCCGCAGTTGGATACTTGCAACACATTACGGCAAGTGTGGGAACCTTTTCCAGATTCCCATACATAATTTGTTTGCCTGCCTCTTATGGGTTTTCCTCTCCCCGATTTTGCTGCCGGATTACCCAATTGCAGCTGCGATGTGTGCACTGTGTGGGAGTCACGGGGCTGGCCAACGATAATTGGCAGTCCCCTGCATCTTCGTCGGCATCTCTGTTCCCGGTTGCATTTCTCCACGCCACACCACTGGGCATTCAATTAATAGCATCCAGACCCATCCAGCTGAGCTGCCATATCGCGTGTCACTGGGTTTGGGCTTTCAGCTGGGCTCGGTCTCTATGCAACTTCACTTCGGATGCTGCACTCAGATAAAATACCTTTAAATACTACGATTGAAAAAAAAATGTATTTATACGAACTTGTATATCACTTTATGTATACAATATACTGTTTGTGGCGCTTTATGATTCTTCTTTGGTTAAAATTAGAAAGAGTCAATCTAATTTAATTTGTATTTTAATCAGTTTAAATCTTAATCACTTATCATAAAAATAGAGGGACATTAACGCATTGAATCAGAAAATCAATTAACAATTTGGTAAAGTGATTTCAGTTGATGTCAACAGTGACAATGACTCACTATGATTGTTTCTTGCGATTTAATTAATAAAAAAATTCTTCCGGGCTAACGTAAAAATTGTAATATTAAATTAATTTAGCCTAATACTAATTTAGCTCATTTTTTTTTGAGTGTATGCAACTAAATCCGGTGTATCGGTTCCTGCTTGGCATTGAGGGTGTCATTGGCCGGCGGAAAAGTGAAAGGCAGCCTTACTTAAGACTTTCGTAGACGTCGTCGCCGTCTGGCATTCTTGATGCACTGTCAAGGTGTTCCGCTGGCCAGAGGCGAGGTGGAAGTCCACCATTCTGGCAGACAGGGTGCAATTAGCGAACTGGTTGCCATTGCACTAGGCCAGACACAGTCGAGCTTTTATCCTATCAAGACATATTTTATTGACTTTTGAACGGTTGGTATATCCCACAGCTGCAACGAGTGCTCTTAGTCGGCTGCCTGATGGTGGCAGTGGGTATGGTGAGGTCGCAGGACTATCAGGATTACCAGGAGAACACACCACGGACGGCTCCACTTCGCCTGCGAGCAAATTCAGCTCCCGCCCGGGCTGAAGCGCCACGAGCTGATCCAGTGGCCATTCTTAAGCAGATTAACAAGTGAGTACCATGTAGCGATATATTTGAAAGCTAAATGTTTGTATTTCATTTATATTTTGAGTCATTATATCAAGTACTTAAGGTGGTTTGTATCAATTAATGAAAAAGTTCATGAGATATTGATTATAAATATTTAAAACATTTTGTAAATCAAATAAAAGGATTAAGGATTTTTGTATTAAGTTAAAACGTAAGGTTAAATATTTAAAAATTGTATTAATTAAATAAAACAAACTCCTTCCTCAGGCACAATGAAGACGGCTCCTACACGTATGGCTATGAAGGTGCTGATGGTTCCTTCAAAATCGAGACTAAGCTAGCCACCGGCGAAGTCAAGGGCAAATACGGATATGTGGATGAGACCGGAAAGGTGCGAGTGGTCGAGTACGGGGCCAACAAGTATGGGTTCCAGCCTTCCGGAGAGGGCATAACAGTAGCACCACCCACATTGGTGGATGAAACTGCCAAGGAGGAGCCAGACTATGCGGATGAGCCCGTACCACAGCGTCCTCAGAAGCCATATGTAAGATTGGAGATACTCATAATTAAATAGGAGATTTGATAAAACTAATTTTATATAGCGTGTTCAGCGTCCCCAGCCACGCCCACAGCCCCGCCCGCAACCCCAACCACAGCCGCAGTACGTGCAGTACGAGGAGGAGGAGGAGCCACCACGTCGGGTTCAGTATGCCCCGCAGCCACAGCCACAGCCTCAACCACTGCCGCAGCCACAGCATTTGCCACAACAGCACCACCAGCCGTCAGTGGGTCCGGCACCCCCACGAATCCAAATTCCCGGCGCCCAGCGCACCACCGATGTGCTATATTCGCCGCTGCAGCGACCCGCTCGCCCTGAACCGGATTATTCGCAATCGCAGAGCTTCGGGGAGGGACCCTCGAATGTGCGCATTTCCCGGCCCGTTTACGCCCTGCCCCCCGCATCGCCGGCTCCGAGCAGTGCCCGGGCCCAGGGATTCCTGGCCCCCGCCTCCGGAGGACGCCCTCTCCTGGAACCGGTGGGCTTCGGCCAGTCCCAGGCACCCATCGCGCGTCCTGTGCAGCAGCAGCAGCAGCCGAGTTACCAGCCGCAACCACAGTCCCGCAGTGGCGGAGGCGGTGGCTCGGGTTTGCTGGATCAGTTGGCCCGCGACTACGCCCTGCCACAGGGAAATGCCCAGCCGCTGCACGACATCACCTTCGGCTACTACTGAGCTGGAGTCCCAGTCCACATGCCCCCTAACAACCCAGAGATTCCTTGCTTCTAGGTCCTAATCGCACAGGTGTGCCCTGTCCCTGTCATTTTCTAAGCGATAATAAAAGTTCCAGTTCCCCAATTAATAAACTAAAAGATTTTTTAAAGGATCTTAACTAATATATGGATATATATTTAGTTAATATATTTACTATAATTGACAACCAGTTTGTTTTAATTTTTCCTTAGAGGTAGGTGTCCCATTTTGTAGCCTACTTTTAGGTTGTAGCCAACTTTTGAGGGAGTTAAGAATAAGTATTAATAAATTCGTATGTAATATTCATTATTATTACCAATTGTTGAGCTTATTTCATTTGAGTAAATTTTACTTAAAAAAATATATATAAATCTGTTTGCAGATTGTAAGGATCCATTATTATTATTTGTTATTTGAGTGCATTTTCCTCAAAAAATATTTATTTTTGAATAATTACGTTTTTTACATTTACTTTAACTTTACATGAAATGTGCCTTTTGTAAAGCATACTTTTAGGCTCCCATTTTTAAAGTTAACCAAATCCCAGAAAAGTCACCGTGTGTATTCAACGATTTATTTATTTAATTTAAATACTTAAACTTAGGATGGAAAAGTTCAATCAATGCAAACTGCAGTTCTTCTTCGGAACGGAAATGTATATAGAATGAGGATGGGTGACAGCAGATATATTCGGAATAGGCAGGAACGGTTTGACTAACTCTAGAATACGTGGAGATGGACAGTGCTGTAAACGGAGTGGGCGCGGTCCACAGCTTCCTCAGCGTCCTCTACTGATGGTAGACTGCAAAGAGATCGGTGAGAGGTGAGAAGAAGGGTCTCCGATTCTGTTTGGGTGGTGCGACATCGCAGGAAAGTGGGTGTGGGAGGAGAGAAAGTGGTTGATAAAGGTGGTGGTGCTTTGTGGCATGCTGTGCTTGGGTTTAAAGCTGCTTTATTGTCAGCGATCTCTGGGAAGCTCAATAAATAATTAATTACGAGTAACGATTGCGATTGCGATAACGAGAACATAAATAAGTTATAGGTAAATGCTGGACATGACTTAGAGGGCTATAAGCTAAGGACTACAGGCGATCCTCGGTTAAACCTCCAGCAGGCGGTTGAACATCAGTGGATCCTGTATCTCGTAGTCCTGCGGCCGGAAGACGCGTTTCGGGTGCTTTCCACCCGCCACCTGACGGCGCACCTTGTAGCCACCACTGTGTCCTGGGTGGTACGATGGTGGTGGCGGTGGTGCACTGTACACGTACTTGGACTTCTGCACCACTGGCGGCAAATACTGGAAGTGCGGCGACTGCTTGTGCACCTGCTTTTCAATGGAGTAGACGGGTCCACTTCCGTGACTGTTTCCCTTCCGCTTGGCCACCTCCAAGGCGGCTATAATTGGCGTCAGATCCTTGAGGGCATTACTCTTGCCGGCATGGTAGTTCTCCACCCTGTAATCATTGACAGCTGGCGGCGCGGGAGCAGCTGCAGCAGGTGGTGGATAGTCGTAGCCCTCATTCGGATGCTTCTGGATGTAGAGTTCCTCGGCGGATGGTCTCTTGGCCATTTGGTGGTATATATCCGCTGGATTCTTTGAGGCGGGATTATAGGCAGCCGTTATGGATTCCGTGTGCGAAAGGGACTCCAAAGTGCCCAAATTATTGGGCAGGGGTATTCCGTAGCTATTATACACCTCCGCCTGTTCTAAACCCGTTCCAGTGGGTAAATTCGTATCCAGAGCCACCGTTTTGGAGGCCGTATACTCCGTTTTGCCGTTGGGCAACATACTGAGGATCTCCTGGAGCTGCAGAGCCGCCTTTCGAGCCTCTTCATCCGTCAGTTTGGTGTGGCGTCCGTAGATGTTAAAGTCATTGCTATTTGCACTGGTCGCTGCCGTTTGTTGTGGTTGTCGTTTTGAGTGGGTGGGTGTATGTGGTTGTTTGTAGTTGTTGTGGTTGTTGTCGAGGTGTGTATGCAATGAGTGAGATTTCATTAGATTTACCAAATTAAATATTTGCGTTTTATGTTTGGGTATTTACACTTGATGTAGTCTGTAGATGTAAGTGTTTTTGAGTGCACAGAGAGAAATTATTTTTTTTAACGGGATTAAAACTATAAGTTTAAAAACTTGTTAATTTAAAATACAATTTAAATCTACAATTTACTGAATTTACTAAAATCTACTGAATTAAAACATATCTCAAAATGATTTTTTCTATCAATATTAAGAAGGACTGTTAAAGAAAATAATTTTTTCTCCGTATAGTGTGTCTGTGGTGTTAGATTTTTTCTTACAAAATGATTGGTTTACTTTACACATTTTGTACATTTTTGGGCTGCCTTCTGGATGATTTTCATGATGATCACAGATGAATTCCGGTTTTAGTTTTGGTTAGCGGAATGAGTAGAGTCGACAGACCGCATTTTATTGAAGGTTTTCGCTAGACTCTTTAATGGGCCACTGGCTAGATAAGTACGCGCACTTTTATCAAGTATGCGACATGTGGCCACTGCAAATGGCGCCATTAATATCTGTACAATTCGTTTAATTCGCATACCAACAGAAGTTGTTAACGGATACATGGATGACGTGATTTTTTAATAAATTAAAAAATGGTTAAATGTTTAAATGAACAATGAATCGATTAATGTTCGCTTGCGCAATGTGTTAAAAAATCGAATAAACTTAGCCTAGGAAATGTGTCATTGGAACAAGTTCCAGGTTGTCTACCGATGCATTAATGGTGGGTATGGCCGGAGAAGGAGAGATTTCGACTGGTAGTGTTAATATTTACTGTATTTACAATGTCTCTGTGGGACTTGGGCTTCGTCTTCACGAATTATGTCCAACTGATGATGTTGCTTTCACTTTCCTCTCGTTGTTCGCTACGTGCGGAAATGAGATGGTGGCCGCCAAAAGGGCGGTGGGATAGAGGGGCGGGGTTTTGTGTTGAGTATGCAAATGAAGCTGAGTGATTTGCGATTGCAAGTTGATGAGACAAGGCAACGTCTATCATTGTTATCTTTAGGACACACTTGTAGACATTTTCGAATTACATATATACATTTTCAACGTCCATTTAGCTCGGCATACTTTTGGTAGAAAACTACTTACAATTTATATTTAATAAATTATCATATTTCTCAAACCAAATCAAATAATGCTTTAGATTTTCGTAGCATTCCTTATTTTTATATTTACATAATGAAAATATATATTTACACATTGCTCATATAATTACGCTTATCAAAGGCTAATGACCTGTAAATCCTTCACCTTGGTTAGTTGAAATAGAATATGTACAAGGATTATTTTCACAGAACCAAGCCCCAAAGGATTACTTTTCTTTAGACCTCGGGAACTACGCACCATCTTGTCCATAGGCCGATGGCAGATAGTTGCTGGGCGGCGACTCGAAGGCCGCCTGGTGGCCAACGCTGAAGGGCGCCCCACCGCTGTAGCTGGCCCCGCCCACCGGCGGGAGGTACTGGTGGGTGGCGCTGCTGTAGGACGGCGGCTTCGACGGCGGACCGTAGCTGGCGTGCCCGGTGGGGATCTCGTACGTGGTGATGGCTGCAACGAGACAAATGCGGAGACATTTTAGCCTAAATGGAACGCAGACGACAATGGAACGGGTTGCTGGCGAAAACGAAAGTTGCCGGCCGGGTTCATTGCTCGCTTCATGCTCTGATTTGGCCATTGGATCTGCGGCCAAATCGGAGCTGGAAGTTGACTCTTCCGTTTTGGCCAGGTGCGGCTGTGTTGGTTATTAGGCGGCTTAATTGTCATGCATCTAGTTCAGCAACTGCCTTACGTAATCGAAAGACAATATGTTTTGATTTCACGGCCCAACGGACAATGGCAAATACATTGCGATATAAACTACTTATTCGCGACCTAGTCCAATTTTATCAAATGAGAAAATATCTTTTTTTCCACAAATGTATTTATAAAAAGTTTTTTAAGTAATAGAAAAAAACCTTATTCATTTATTTATACGAGTGAACATTTGGTTAACGTTAATCTAAATTTACAACCATAAAAATATAAATTAGATATGTATCGCTGAATTTTTGATTTTTAAAATTTTTATCAACTGTATTGTTTGAACTTGATCTAGCTTTTTTAATGGGTTATACTAATTTGCTTGTTTTTGGTGTTTTATTTAAAATATATAGATATGGATGAGACTATATTGATAAATAATGTATCCCTTCCTATCTGCTACCATGAATTTATTTTTGAGGCGCAACATATATTATCATGCTATGATAAAATATTTCACATAAAAGTTCACTTATGTCTTGACTTGAAACACTATAAACTTACTCCGTGTCTTTTTTTGGCTATCCATTTCTTGACCTATTTAAGTAAGAGGTTCTTGAAATTTTCCCCGAGTTTACTTACTCTCGTGATGCAGGACGGGTGCAGGAGCGGAGACGGTCTTGTGACCGCTGCTGCCGCCCGAGGAGGCGCCCGACAAGGAGGTCAGCTTGGCGAACAGACCGCCGCCGCCGGAGGAGGAGTGACTAGTGGCGTAGGTGTGCGAGTTGATGTGCGCCGAGTTGATGATCGACTTGCCCACATCGGTGACCTTGTCGCCGCCGGCGGCCACCAGGTTGCCGCCCGCACTCAACGCGTATCCGCTGCCCTTGATCAGCTGACCCTTGAGCGCGGTGACCCCGCCGGTGATGGCTTTGACCGCCTGGAAGATAGTGTTCAGAACGGACTTTTTGAACGACCAGGGGTCATAGTCCACCGAGTTACCCTGGAAATGGAGGAGAAATGAGCTAGCTGTTAAGGTAAAACTTATGAAGACCCATTTGCATTATCGGATTTTAGAGGTTTAATTTCGTTATTCGTTATTTTTTAATCTATATTGTTACATTAAGTATGTATTTAATTTTCTCTAATGTTTTATTAAAATAATTAAATTTCAAATTAAAAAATGTTTAATAAACAACAGCTTAGGATCAAAATAACTAATAATTGATTTGCTGCGTTCAGAGAAAAGCTGGGAAATCCAAATCGACTTACATGGACAACAATCTCGTGGGACTTGTAGCTGTCCCCGCCCCCGCTGCTTCCGCCGGAACTGCCGGAGGCGATGGATGCGGAGGCTTGGCCAATTCCGGACAGCAGGCCGGACTTCAGGTGCGCCACGTAGTCAAAGCTGCCGGATCGCTTTTGCACCTGGGACTCCTTCACACTCTCGCCGGGTTCATTGTCCAGGTCTGTGTCCTCCAGCGAGAGGGATTTATCGGTGGCGGGGAGGGCATGGCACATCAGGGGCAGAGCGGCCACCAGCAGTAAACTAAGTCTGAAGACCTATTTTTAAGCATACCAAAATAAAGATTTGTAAAAAGAGATCACCTAATTTATTAAAGATGACAGTGAGTTGCGCAATACATTTAAAAATCTGTTCGTATTTTTTTTCGTGACAGCCCCACAATGGCCCTAGAAAACAAGGAAAATTCAATTGTCAAAATGTGTCGCTGCGGTGATTGCACCACCAAAGTTGTTGGTTGCTGCTTGCCACATCTGTGCACTCATTTGTCAACTGTCGCACACACACGCACTCCATGTGCAATCATAATCTGCCACTTAGCTCCGAAGCAAATGTAAATGTACCACGTAATCCTCGCTCTGCATATGCAAACCCAGTGAAGCACCATCCTTACCCCTGTATAGCTCGGTTTACGGTTGAGCCAACTTAGTCTAATTCGAGGGGGTGGTGGGGGGGCACTGGCCATAACCAATTTGGCCAAGCGGAAGGCTAAGACATTGCTATGACTTGCGGCGCTCGCAGCTGTTTCATGCGCCATCAAGCTGTCAATATGCTAATTGGTTTACAGGCTAATGCTTAAAGGAAGCGGTTAAAGTTGGTGAAATTAATATGACTTAATTTATTTATTTCACTCATTTCAATCAACATACTAACTTTAAATCCTTAGTAAACCTCTTATAATTTTAATTCAACGAAAATGTAGTTTAGCTTATGAAATGTTCGTGAGTGCAACCATTTCCTTTCATTAAATAATAACGAACACTTTAAATTGATGTACAATTCGGAGAAATAGTAGGAAACATTTGTTGATACTAAGTTTGTCTGTGTTTTCGGAAATGGGTGTTGCAATTCACTTACTCCAAGTAACGTGAAATATTAACTTGAAATTGAACTGAAATCGGGTCAATAAATCGCTTGGGAAACATCCATTTTTCGTTATTGAATGTTTTGACAAATGCGTTTTAAATTAGTTTTTTATGTGGGTTAAGAGTGGAACCGCCTCGAAAAATATTCATTAAATTGGCAGCCTTTCGCCCCGCGATGGCGCAACCTCAATTATGACTGGCCAAATATGTTGTGATTTCTTATACAATACATAAACTGCCTTAGCCCTGGCCAAAACAATTGGCCCACTGCAATCTGCATACAAATGCACTAATTAATCAATATAAATATTGTTCTTCGTTTTGGGATTGCATAAGCAATTATTAAACAGTGACAGAAGTAATAAAATAATTGAAAGTTAATTGCTATGTTGAAAACAATTGTTATGTTTGGTTCACCTGAGTAATTAACGGAATGCAATTTGAGTGCGAAATTCGCATAAATTCGTTGGCATATTGAACTATTGGCCAATATTTGCCAGAGCTATTTTCCCATCCTCCACTCATCGCTTTGATTGATTTTTTAGTTGGCCGACATTGTTTGTGGCTTTTAGTTTTTGTTTGCTCATTGTTGTGGCCAATATTTTGTCTGGTCTGAGAGTGAAAGTGTTGTATTTGCCGGCTTGGTGGCTCTTACACTCTGGCTCTCTTTTTCCGTATTCACAATCAATTAGCATATTAAATATTATTGCTTAATTGTGAGCGAGCAGAATGCCTACATAGTGTTACCTGAACTACCTGAACTTTGACTACAATATTAATTGCGGTAGGTTCAGTTTGCGGACTCGTTTATTGTCTCTACGTGTGCCTCGCCTCAGCTGCTTCGTCGTCTCCAGTTTGGCTTAGCTTCACCTGGGCCGTATTCAAATTTCTTAACGATTTTCGAAAGCAACCCGCTGACGGGTAGAAGCCCACAGGTCTGACATAATAATTATGCACGACATTTACCTTCACACTCGGTCAAATGGTCGGCGCTTCTTGCGAGCCATGATATAATAGGGTTCCGTATGAATGAAGGTCTGCCAAGTCCACCTCTTTTCAAGTGCAGTGAGGCATCGATTGGGATTTTTGGGTTAACTTCGGGTTGCGTAACGAAAGCATCTCTACTTATGCGAGAGCGCGCGATAGACATCACGCAGCTGGGGCTTAGCTAATAAAGTCAGCGATGTGTGGCCAACATAAAACGGGTTTTGGTGCAGAATGCCTTGCACTTGAACTTGTTCGTCATAGAAATTGCATAAACGAGATATTTGTAGTTAGCCAGGGGGCGGTGTGTACGTTCAAATTAATCCAGTATTCGAATCAACTTTCACTGCGCTATCCTTTGGCTTACCTTCATTTCGGGCGGCTGTGTTTTTCGTTCGATGATTAGCTTAAATTGGGCCTTGGATTAGCTGGGCGGCTAATCAAGATCAAAATTCACTTTTACCGATGACGTCCTCGGGTTTTGTTTGTATTTATATTACTCGCTGTCTCCTCTTCACACCAACTTTCTTCACTTGGCCACTTGCAATTGGCAGTTGACCGCCGCACTTTTTCGACTTCGATTTCGAACCGTTTCGCTTCACGTTTGTTTTGTCATCGGCATTCGTCTCAGCGGTTTGGAGCGCACACAAAATTTCACTCTCGACTTTCTTTCACCGATTCGAGTCTCCCGATCTTGGGGCTTAGCTTGGCTTATATCTCGGCAACGTCTGCGCTCGAACTGTGCTCGAAAATCGCTTTGGCTGCTTATTTAAAGAAACCGCCGGAGAGTGCCGGCGCGAGTGCATTTCGAGCGGTTTTGGGGGTCTTTTTGGCCCGCTCTTAGTCGGGGGGCTAAGAGTGTTGCCCTCTCTTTCCTGCTCTTTTTGTGTTACAATTTATTTTATATATTTTTTTCGGCAGCAATGCCGACATTTTCATGACATCCGCGGGGAGCGGGTGGCAGCCTCTTGGCCATAAACGAGTGTCTGGGGTTCAATGCGTTTCGAGTGGTATCGGCATCGGTGGCATCAGCCACATGTGGCAATACGAAAACTGCAATGCGGCTCATTAAGTGCGGTGGTTCAAACGTGTTCGACTGCTAAAAAGACAGCACCGTTGACTTCGTTTTCTGACATGGCCCAATCGAAAGACTGAGGCAACGAACTTGAAATGAAGTGATCGACATCGAAAGATGTAAAGCAAGGACAAATTTGGGCTTTAGTACTATTCTTTGCTGTCAAATGTCGTATTTCTTAATAGTCCACGCTACATTAATTACTTATTGCGTTATGGGGTAAGATGATGTTTAAAGTATGTGCGATTATTTGATTTGATTAAATAACAATAAATAATTTAGTAGTCAATAAAATAATATTAATATAAAATTTCTGAAAAATAATAAATCAAGAGTTTCCAGATCTTTAATGAGAAAGCCTAATATATTCTGTTCAGTGGGTAATATGTTTTTTCACTTTTAATGTTTGGCTTTAGTTAGTTTTAGGCAAAAATCGTTTTATCCTATATATATGTTAATACTTGATAATAATTTATTAGGTTTATTGCATTTCTTTAATAATGTCATCCCATAAAACATTTAAACTTGTTTGTTCAAAACCTTACTTAAATAAGAATAATAAAATGCGTTAGATATTCTTGACCCAATGTTAATTGATCTCTAATCTCTGGTATATTTGAGAGCAACAACCTTGACCTCAGACCCGTTGCCTACTGATTGAAGCCTTCAACTGCAGACTGAAAACCGAGCCCCGAAAATAGGAACACAACGTGAACTTGGGGTCCAGCCATTATCTAATGTTACGACAAATGGATGCAAGTCAACTTTTAGGCCCTCCTCTCGTCGAGAGTTCACTGTCACTATGTCAAAAGCAGTTCATTTGTAAATGCGCCAAACAATTAAGGCAAACAATGGCGGGGCGAACAATGGCAGTTGGTACGACAGTTTCAACTGCCTGAATGCTCCATTCCCTGGTGACAAAGTCGGGCCAAATGAGCAAGTCCTACGTAGGCAAATCCCCGATTCGAAAAACCCCCACCTCTAACCGGACAGCGGTTATCTAACCGAAAGTGAAATGGGCCCAGACAGACCAACTGCAACTTCAACTGCCAACTGAAGTTGCAACTGCAAAACCAACTGCAACTGCATAAATGCAAAACGCAAAATGAGCATGAAGAAACTTTGCCCAAACATAATACTTAAGCACTCGTAGTTAACAAACTGTAAATTTGTTAAGCAGCAAAAAGAAAACATGTCGGGGGAAGGCAAACAGCAGCAAAATAAATGAAAATAAAAAGAAAATCCCCGACTCATGTAATAGCAAGCGAATATATACTAATGGGACAATATTATTGCGATTGGGGGCGGAGCTGCCATAAAAGGTTTCCAGTGGTAATACCCTACAATAGAGGAAAAGGTTTTTCAAAATATTAAAAAAAATTTAAGATTTAAAAAAGTTGTATGTTAAATAGAAATTTAAGAATATGTGGCTTATTTTATGGGTATGTAAATTAAAGACCTGCGTTTGTGTCCGCTTACAATGTAATTTTTACATATAATTTAGTTATATTGTAACCGACATTTACATACTAAGATAGTTTTAAAAATATCTATAACAAAAGACATTTTAAGTGTATTGATTAATAATTATTTTTTTTAAACTACTGATTGTACAATATTGCATAGACATTTTAGAGCGTATTTAACACATCATATTTTATTTAAAACTATTGTATAATATTTTTTAGTCTTAACAAAAAATTACCTTGCAGGTTTATTGAACTACAAAATCTCCAAAACGATCTGAAGGCCATTCGTAATTCGTGGAAATTCCGCCATTCACTTTTCCACTGCTCAATTGTTTTCTTAATATTGTTTGTATTTTTTGTCCACTGTTTATTGGGTTGTCAACACGAAGAGTAGAGCTGGGAGTTATAAATGTTTCTTTGCTTGGGATAATTTGTGGTTAAGTTAAGTTTCCGTTGAACCGACAACGTGGCCATTCAGTTCAAGTTGAATGCACAGAAAGTGAATCCAATTCAACCTAACTCGTGGCCCGCTCCCAACATTGCGTATACGCCACCGCAGCGATAAAAAGAAAAACTATCGAACGACAACCGGTCAAATTTAATCAGGAAGGAAGTAACTTATTCGCTTAAGCATACAAATTACATTGGCACATGAAAGAAGCGATGAGATAACACGGGAATGCAATCAGTCAACAATTAAAATTGATTCATTATTGTGACAGGAATTCGGGTCCTGTGTCCTCTCATAAATAAATTAATATAAAGCACATGGATCCAGAGTGCCACTTCCTGCCATTATGGCGTTTGGGTTTTTTTCTATCTTTTATATCATCATCCAGCCAAAGTCCGAGGCAAAAAAACACACATGTGCTTTTAATTTTTCACTCACTTTTCACGGGTTTTCCTCTGCCGCCAGTGCTGCGCTTTTTTTTTGTTAATTGACGTGGGGCAATTGCCAGAGCGGGCAGGAAAAAAATAAGCAAGCGCAATGTGAAAATGTGTTGGGAAAAGTTTTCAGAGTGTAACGCGAAGTACGATAACAGGCCGCTGCGCATTGGGAAACGCTAGAAAATACCCGAACATCGAACACCAAAGCCACCAAAGAGTCCACTCCACTTCGTCGACTTCCTGCTGCAGTTGCTCGTTAGTTGCGCAATGAACTTCAACTTCAAAATCGCAAATGTTTCTCTGCGCCGGAGACAAAAATATCTGAAATCCATATCGGAAATGAACTCGTTTTTGGCATTTTTTGGTCGATTTCTGTTTTATTTTTTTGTGTGCCTCTTTGAGAGGAAGCTGCACGGCATAATTCAATTTGCAGTAAGGCATGGACCAATATAGATATGGATATGGAGCGCCAGGGAAAAGTGAAAGCCCGTCTGTCGTTTGGACCGATATTTGCCTAGCACTTCAGCAAGGGCATCTCCATTTTTCATGCCTCCACACCCCAACCCCCCCCAAAAAAAAAAAAACAAATGCAAAATAATTCACCTGGGATTATGGCTATGATGTAACGAATTCGGCCGACAAATTGAGCAACAGCTGCGATCTCGTCCTGGTTGCCTGTTTCGAATGTTTATTTTCGAGGCGAACGCACAAGAAATACGCTGGCGTGTGGCGCTGTCATGGCTGAAATTGCATTTTGCAAAGTGGTGCGTCCACATTTTTCTCAGGTGCCGCTTTAATTGTGCCCGTTTGAAAATATTTTATTGAATGTGCAATGCAATTTCATTATTTATTCAGTCGTACACACACCGAGACTTAACCGCTTGGACACACATGCATGAGCAAGCTGTCATTAAACGTATTTCACCATTTTCACGTTAACTTGACCCGGCAGTTGGCTCGCTTGACTTGCCCTGACTTTTGGGCCATCCTCGCTCGATTGGCCAATTCCCCCAAGTCTCCAGATCTTCAGATGCCCGCCAAGGTGGCACATCGATTAATGGGCGCTGGAATTGTATTCAAGACATTTCCTTGTCGATTAATAACTATTACGATAATTGGATCAAGTCGTTAGGAAAATGGCAACTCATTAACCATTACTCTGTGCTGGAATTTTCAATGATATACAAAAATTTATTTTGCCTTTTTTTGGAGAACAGTAGAGTTAGCTAATTTCATTTAATCTGCGACCTGAAGTTTCTTACTTACTGTGATTAAATTTAATTTTTACATACATATTAAATTTTTTATTATCTTTTCTAAATGCAAGCAACTTAGCAACTATTGTAAAAACCTTGTTAAAATTCTTGACCTTTTCCAATAAATCATTTAGTAAAACTATACAATTTTTATAGACGAGCTCCTGACTCAATGCCTATGACTAATTATACGTTTTAATTCAGAAGCTCCGTTGAAATTGTTTTCTGAAGCAATTAGTAGTTAGCTTGCATTATGTAAAACAACTTTGACCATAATAGCTGGCTTTGCTTCAAATTTTTAAAATGTGGCCTGCAAATAGGCACAAAAATGTATTTGGGCCCCAAAGTATGCAAGCTGTTTCCAAAAAATATTACGCAACATTGATAAATAAACTCGTATTTAAACGTAATCATACAGCTGACCAATGTACCCAGTTAATTGATTCCTGAGATGCATGCAACAAACACATTTTTTTTTACAAAATTTTGTCCTTGACTAGAACAAACAATAAATAAATGTATGATGAAACAATTAAGATTGCAGCCCACGCATATCCACTTAAACCTCACAATTCAACTCTATTGCATATTTTTTTGTTTACTCATATTTATTGATAAAAGAATTCTTGAGAATTTCTGGTATAGCTATAATTCTGCGAAATCGCTTTATATCAACTAATAAATGCCTAGGGGGAGATATATGTTTTTGTGGACAAGTTCGAACATACATATTACAAAGGCAAGTTCAAGGTTTTCTGGGCTGATGACATTTTGTCTGGTGGACCATAAACCACTAAATGAAAGGAATGCATTCATACGACTGCGTCATATGCCGGTTACATGGCAAATATTTGCAGTGCGCGATTTTAAGCTGCGGTTTTTTGTCCGGGGTTCTCGGAAATACCAATTGAGTCACCGTCTTTCCCAACATCGTCGCACGCCTCAAGGCAGATATAGCATCGGTAATTATAGCGCTTTGGATCTGTTGTGACTCCCATGACGCGTGCTCCGCGCACCCGCTCGGAATACTTAATATATTAGATATTAGGTGGAGCCTATCGAAGTGATAGTGAGCAAGTGTGCTCTTAGAGCTTTTGGCGAGGAGCTTTGGACCGGCTTTACTTTTACTTTCCGCAGAAACAGGTGTTTGCCGGTAAAAAGACCGGCTTAGTTGGCTGGGGATAGCCCCTCAAATGCTGGGTTTATCTCAAATGAGTAGTTTAAAACAATGCTTTTGGTATTAATGTTTTAAAAATCTAATAATAGTAAGCATTCTAGCCATTTTTTTGGTAAATTTGTAACTAAAAGTTACTGTAAATGAAAAATGATAAATGAAAACCTAATTCAATATAAAGGTATCACTGTTATTTAAGTACCTCTATAATTAGTTTCTTCTCGACCATTCAATAGACTTCTCGAAATCAACCTAGCCGCAACAATTCTTTTGAAACATCATTAAAAATAAAATACTAAGCTCCCGACAATTAAAGGTATAGTTTGCTTGTATTCAATTTGTATTTAATTTGTGACGGATGTTTCTTTTCAAACATTATGACTTTCGCTGATAACGAGGACTTCGAAAACTGGGAGCAAGTAGAAAATTGGTGACCTGTGGGTTAATCTTTTAATTAAAGCAAAAAACAAGCATAATACTATCAGTTGTGATTCGACTTCCATCTCGACAGCGCTATAACATTTTATACATTTAAACTCTACTGATTACTTAATACGATTTGGCTTCTAAGAAATATTTTATATTTTGTACTTATTATCTACATTGACGAACTTTTGAACTCTACAGATAGCAAACTAAGATTTGGCCTTTAAAGTGTTTAGGTTGTTTTTTATTATGTTTTTAACGATATATATATATGTTGGAATTATATGTTGGAATTATAAAATTGATAAAAACAAAGTTTGCTTGGAAACATATGCAATCTACAATTTTTAAGTTACCAAGAGTATATAAATAAATTCTTATCAGAATATGATGAAAAATTGTTAGAATTAAAAATATTAGCTATAATTTACTTAATGATTGGCAAGAGAACTTTCAAATTCAAGAAGATTTATGTTTGTCAAATAGAATTTGGGGTATGATGATTGAAAGTAGCAACATCCAAGAGGATGTCTTATAATATAGGTTTATAATAGGTTTATTATATTTTTGGTTAGTCCCCTTGAGACAATTTATTTCTCTGAGTGTTTCAGTGAGTGATTCAAAATGTTTAAGTTTGTCGTGGCGCAGCGCAGCGGCAACTAAGCTGTCATACAATCCAATCCCCCCTCCCCCTCCCCATCTGGCTCTCTCCCGGCGCCCTCTCCCGCTCGCACTCTCGCAAGCTCCGCTTAAAGCTGCACTTGTCAATTGTTTGGGGAGCTGTCAGCGTCGAACTCTCCGGGCGGTTAGTTTCAGTTGCCTCCCAGTCGTCCGCTCTCGCTGTCGTGTGTTCTCGATCGCGAGAAATCGAAAACGAAAACCAAAACCAATACGAATACGAATTTAGTTAATGCCTCCGGATAACCGGGAGATATGGTGAAACTCTGCGATCCGATAGGAAAATCCCAGCGCGCGGCGCTATAAAACTCAAGCGCAAGATCGCTGGCATACGGTGGCGTCTTTAATTCCATAAAAGCGCAGGCCCTCGCGATTTTCGTGTCACTCAAAGCCGACGCACAGAATCGATAACTTGAAGATCAAACGCAATCTGGGAATACCAGAAGCCTTGATCAGTGCTTAATAGCAAATAACCAATAACCAACCAATAACAAACTAGCCAAGTCGAGACATTTCCATCAGTGAACAGCCAAAAACGGTTCCACTAAAGCAAAGCGACGAGAGAGCGAAACTAAAGTGAAAAGCAAACCGACTAATTGAAGTGTCTGCCTGAGTCTCGCAAACGTGCAAAGGAAACAAACAAAACGGAATAGACAGCATATCACAAAGAGCCACCGCGCAAAATATTTATAAATAAATACCCACCGACGACAACTACGGCAACAGAAACTGAAACAGAAACTGAAACAGAAACAGAAACAGTAACCGCTAACAATATAAAAGCCCGGCATTAACATTTAGTCGTGCCAGTTTGTTTATTTTTAATATACGCAAAGCCCAATAAAAACGATCAACAACAAAGTTGTAGCAATAAGAAAATTGGTATAAGCCACTACCGAACCGCCAATCTCCTGCTGTATATTATTATTAATCCCCGACGCAGACGGTCGCCGTCCATAGACTATTTATATATATATATAGTAGTATTCCCACTTGATTACCTCAACATCGGAAACAATGACACCCATGTGGCAGACGCTACTTAAAATCCTGGTGCTGCTCTTCGCCATGTTCACCGCGGTAAGCACTCTCATCCGAATTCCATTACAGTAGAGCCTTCATAACTAGAACTTTCCAAAGAATCCATTGTAGAATTTTTAAAGGAACGTAAAAGTACAAAAAAATAACTAATTTCATGATCTAGTAAAAAATTACATTACCATGTAACACAAACATATCCTTATGTATAACTAATATTTTGCCTTACTGGTTAGTGTTGTTCCAGTTATGAAAGTTCAACTGTGTTTCTGTTGTTTCTGTGTTGTGTGACTTTCTGCTTCCCCTAACTATCATATCATTGTACCATATATTAACTTTTCCTTAAAGGAGTGCATTTTAGATTTTCCGTAGTTGTACTAGCATTTCCATAACCCGAAGGGCATTTTCAAGTTTGTAATAGCCAGGGATTGAAAACCTGTTCGCATTGCCAATGGCGAGTTGTAAACAATTTTCATTCTTCATATAATAAATGTACATTATCGACATTGCAGCAATATTAATTGTCATCAATAGCGCCAGACATTCTGCACACGACTTCTGAGTTAATTTACTGCTGACAAAAGGGATGATCACTGTCAGAGAACAGCAATTAAAACAAATTAATAATATGATTTGAAAGTGGCGCATAGAATGTTAGAAAATCCGTTTTTCAGGGTTTCCGCAAATTCCACAGCGAACCGGTTTCAAAGATCATTTTTATTTCTGACTAAGTTCCAATGGGTTCATGGAAAACCTAAACCTGGGATGGAAAAATTATCTAATGTTTGTGTTACTTGCTTCTAGCCAAAACGCTGATGAACATGTTTGATAGCTTGGGGAAAAACAATTCCGAGAAATGGCAAAATTTCTCAGGCAATCAAGTTCGTATCGAGAGGCACCTTCATTTGAGTTTTATACGAGCTTAGCAAGTTATAATTTCGTTTTGGGTAAATTCTTTATTAATATTTTAGATGTTTGAACTTAACTTTTGCATTTCGAGGAATAAAGAAATAAAAATGGTGACTCGCTAGATTCGAGACCATTATAAAGTTATTTTATACAATTAAAATTTTATTATTGCCTTAGAGAATAATAAAGATTATTTCTGACGATTCTTTTTCAACTTAATCTATTTAATATGAGTTATATAAGAATTAATTTGTTTTGTTTGCTCTTTAGGTTATCAGAACATTAATTTTTAAGCTAGGAAATTTAAGTATTGTTCTTTATGCTCATATTCGTTATTTCATCTTTGAACTCACTCGTAAATTTGTACATTTTACTTTTCTATCATTATCATTCAATCGTCCTCACTTGCTTCTGCTCATTACAAAATTATCAGCTCAGATTTTGAGCTCATTCTGGAGGTTTGGGTCCCAACTACAGCGCCGATGGCCAGAGAAAAACTGCGCCTGCCCGAAAAACAGCTGTCCAAACTTTTAAATACGCAATTGTAGTGCCGGCAATGAAAAGAGAGAGGGCATTTAGAGCGAGTCGGAGGGATAAGCCGGCAAACAAACACCGACCCACGACTATATACCCCGTTGTCTTGGCAATGTTGTTGAACCGCAAACAAAACTCTCACCTGTATCTTTCAGATAGTTTTAATCTGTAGCGAAATGTCGAAGCGACACGATGCCGAATCGTTGGCAATGAACGCAACTAAAGAACTGGCAGTGTTAAGGCACTTTTTAATGCGACTGCAGCCCAAGAAGGCCACGGATGTCGAATCGATGCCGAAAGAGGTGTGAGCACAGTGCCCCAGGGTGTCCCCAAACAGACCCACTTATTTCCCCATTCCCTATCCCTCAACTTCGAAAGTCCTTTGTGTCTGTGTGGTCATCCTTTCAGAACCGAGACTAAAGCCTTACGTCTTGTTTTTTTCGCCGTTTTCGCACAGCTTAAGGCCATGGAAAATGATGCTGCCCTTGAAGACATCTTCATAGTGACGAATGAACCGGGTGTTATTCTCTGGAACGTAAGTGTATCATGGATTTCATCAGACGTCTTAGATTTGAATAAGCGACCTTGAGCAGACTTAAATTCCATTAAACAATGATAAGATTACTGACGTAAAGCCAAAGGCGATTCATAGCAAATTTGCCTTTCTTTTATTCCCCCATCCTCTAATGCATGCCCATTTCATCGCTCATTTGATCTTTCGTTGGGTTGTGTTGTCTTTGTGCCTTCTTTTTTGCCATAAGCTTGAAGACTAACACGAGTAAATTTTACCTGCACAGACAACGACCGCCGACAGTGCACCCCTCATGCCCATACCCACCAAGAGCGGCGATCCGCCGCAGAATCAGTCCCCGAACCGCCATTACCATCAGTATCACAGCCTGAGCCAGCCAGATCAATACTTCAAAGTGCAGCGCTCCCCGGACGGAAAGCTGAATCTGGTATTTAACGATACGTTCGTCTATTTGCAGGGGACAAAACCGGGCGCAGTGCAAGCGGACCAGCCGGAGAAGCCGGCCCAGCACCGAGTCCCCTCGAACAGTAAGTACCTACGTCTATTCCTATATATGCTCAGTTACATTGGATACTCGAACATGCTTTACAATTAACAACTAAATCGATACCATACTCACTGGCCAACTGCCTTTGGCGCTTGCCTAATTTTAGCCTTTGTCTTCCCCGATTCCTCAGGCACGTTTCGGTACCAGCCGTGCGGAAAGGATAGCAACGAGGAGTCCAGGTCCTTCTGCACCCAGGTGGACGACTATCCGGACCTGTCCGGCTTGAAAATGAAGCTGGAGAACAAGTTTGCCAAGTTCTTCCTCGACGACCTCCAGCCCACGGACGTGAGTGCCCGCGTCGGCTCCCCCGATGACGATGAGGTGTTCCTCTGCAAGACCAACCGGCGGATTATGTATCCCAAGAAGGGCCAACGGGCGGACAACACCTGGCAGTTGATCGTCAATAACGAGGAGTACAAGCAGGGCATCCAGATCGAGGAGTGCGAGTAAGTTGAAAAACCTTTACATCGAGTTAAATTTTTAGAAGATTTATCTCTTGAATCTTTGAAAAACAGTATATAAGAATGATTCCACGGATATAAACATTCCGATAATCTGGATTATTTTAGAATGAAGTAAATAAGTTTAAAAGGAGTATAAGCCTGGCTAACCCTTAACCTTTTCTTATTTTTAAAGAGGAGCGGATCAACCCTGCGACTATACCGCCAACTTTCCGAATACTTACAAACCCATTTGCAAGCAGCACTACGTGCTGCAAAACCTAGCCAGCATTGAGACCTCGGGCAAACTGGACGTAGTGCAGCAGACCTTCAAGATCCCCTCCTGCTGCAAGTGTGCACTGAAGCGGGTTTAAATCGGCAGGCGGGGAATGTCCAGTCGAAAGCTGCGAAAATGTGATTTTGAGGTAAGACCACAGTTTATTTGTACATTGAATTTTAAAAGGGGGACGAAACTGAAACAAACAGACGATCAACTGAATGCGCTGGTCTCCGAGTCCATCACTTGACCAACTTGCGCAGGGTCCAGCCGACGGCGTAGAATCCCACCAACTTGAGGGCCATCTCCTTGCCTTCCGCCTTCACCAAACACTTGAACTTGTTTCCGAAATTGCCAACGACGCGATCCATCAGTATGAGATAATATCAACAAACAATTCGCAAAATCTTAAAAATGAAGATTCTTGAAGAATACTTTTTAGCAAATTCAAATTTAATTCACGAGCGTTTCCTGTTACTGGAAGAAACAGATTTTTAGGACTGAGTCTAGAGCACAAACAACTGAGAACTGAGTTTGACATAGGCACCATGCCAAGTAGATCACAAATATTTATTGTTTTTCTTTTTCTCTCTTTGCAGCGTCAAGTTTCACCCACCACAGGATGGCAGGCCAAACTGTCCAGGGGTCGTTGTTTTATATTATAATCTGTACTTTTGTAGCTTTTCCACGCCCACAAAATGCAATTGTAATCTGCTCGTTAATGCAGAATCCACGCTTAGACTAATATGCATTAAAATTAAGAGATTTAAGTCGAGTCACTGTAAACATATTCGTGTCATATACATACGTTTTTGGCTTCCTCGTTTGATGTCTAAGCTAGAAATGCAAGTAATTAGTCCTAGATTACAAACAAAAAAAAAAAAAAAAAAAAAAAAAAAACTATCTAGAAAATGTATGTTAAAAAAGAGATAATGTATAATAAATGTATGCAAGTACATGACAGCAAAGTAAAGTTCTTTGAACCCATCAGCGAGTACCTGGTGGACAATTTATTTGCTTATTAACAATAATTCGGTTCGCCTTCGCCTTCGCCCCGCAACGCAAACCAATTACACCCTAGTGAGTGTAAACACATCTCAAGGGGTGGCTTTCACCGGGACAAGAATAACATGCACTGCCTGGCTTTGGAGTTTCACTCGTCAGCGGGTCGTATGCGCGATGTGTCTTCAGGTGGCACATGTAGAAATCAATATCCTTTATCGATTCCCAGACACAATAAACTATGTCAAAGTTAGGGCGAACAATGCGAATGCTTGTGGATTCCTTGTGGGCGGGCAAAGTGCCACCATTTAATTACTATTATTAGGTATCCTTCCCGTTTGGCCAAAAACCAGTGTCGTGTCCTGAACGATTGGCCATTGCCCAGGGTCATCAATCATGCACCTCCCAATGGCCACACACCCGAGTCCATATCAATTAGCAACTATCCATATATCTTCCCCGCGGATTATTTATATATAGAGTTTGGGTTCCCATTGTAATGTACTTTTTCTCATTACGCAACTGCCTCCAGTCCGCGGATTGTGGTCACTTCCCGGCCGTTCGTGTTCTGTACTGATTCACTGTGAAAACAATTTTGAGACATGTATCCGAACACTGAATACCTCAGCAAGAAATAATGTGTTTATCAAAGAGTAAATTTAAGACACATTTTTTATGATTCATTGTGCTAAATTGTTTAATGAGAGGTCTCCTTAATACTAGTGAAATTCCATGACGAAGCTGCACGAATTTAGTACTTTTAATACATAATCACAGGCAACGTTTTCTACACCTGTATAAAACGATCAACAGCCCTTTTGTTTTTTTTTTTTTTACAATATTGTATGGAATGCACACTGGTAGCGGTTACGTTAATTTTGCTTTGAAGCGAGATTTTTAGTTTTTTACCTTTTTACATTACTTATTTAATAAGTGGCTATAATAAAAAATGAAATAAGTATTTGTTTTGATCAACCCTGGATTTTTAGCTTTTTAGAGTGTGTCTTCTTGATTTTTGGTATTTTTCGTTCGTGGTATTGAATACTTTGAAACCATTTGCTAAGTTGTACGTATTTTCAGATTGTTGTACCAAAAACCAATAGACCCATACTAAAATAGATACGATGGAACAAACAACAATACGGACAACATGCAGGACAGTCAGACAGTGTCGGCTTTTTTCGGTGGGTATGGAATCGGGTGAGTGGCTTGGTGGCTTGGTGGCTTGGTGGCTCGTAATTGCCGCAGCACATTTGCATGGCCGAAGGAGTTAATGGGGGTTGCCTGATTTGTTTGTTGGTAGTACTATTGCTATTGCCAGCCGTATTGTTGTTATTCGGTTGCTGGCGCAGGTATCGGTGCCGTATAAATACGTTCTGTTGACGACGCCCGGGCTCCAATACGCCGGTAGTCGCTCTTTCAGACCAGTCGCCCGCTGCACTCGCCGGCTCCACTTCGAGTCGATTTTTCCAGAGTTCTACGGTGCAGTTCTCCAGCTTTCGTTTCGGCCTCACATAATGCCAAATTATGCAACTGCCTGCTGTTGGCAGTAGGAGAAAATATAATTTCAAGTAATGAGCAAGCCATAAATTGTATAGCTGTACCCACTTTGTATCGAACTGTTCCCAACGTCAACGCAACATGTGGGCACTGTGACGTGCACTCGATTGAAGCTTATCCCCAGCTCATTGATATGCCCTGGAGTCTCTAGGAAAATCACCAGCACTTTGTGTAAAACAAGCAGAAAAATCACACGGAATATGCATTAATCTGTAAACTGGATTGACTCATGCAATGGAGGATCGCAACCGCATCTGGACCACGGGCAACATCAACCATGGCTTCCTCAGCGATAACCTGCAGCAGCAGACCCTTCCTCTTCAGAGGTTGCAGACACCGGGTAAGTGTTTCATTTTATTTGTGTAAATGCAAACGCTTAATATACCAAATTAGTAAATTTTGCCTTGTAGTTTTAGTTTGGTTTACATTAAAACCAATTCTAAGGTTAATTGCTTATTATTACATATATTAGGAAAAAGTATTCGGAATTTAATGAGTCATGTACACGTACTTAGTGCATGTTCATATTTATACCGGGTCTAAAAAGGCAATTTGTGCTATTTGAATCCGCCCAATAATCACTTTAAATCGTTGACCGCAAAAGATCCGTAAGTCATGAATCCGATCGAACTATCGGCAACCTTTTCAACGAATTGGTGACGTGGTTTTGTTAGCTACCGGAAAAAAGCCATCGTAAATCGTACCGAAACCTTTGTTTTTTATTGTAGACAGCCAGTTGAAGGCCCACTTGGGAGTTCCGACCATGGTCTTTTCCTTAATTTGGGCATGGTCACTGGGTTGAATTGTGATCGTGTCCGCGTCATCTGTTTCAGTTCCGTTGCCTACTCCGTCGTCTTCTGCTGGCTCCTTAGCATTTTCAATATCATTTTCCACAAGAGAAGTACTGGAAACTTTTCTCGGGTGCGGAATCCTCTTTCTTTCGCTCCTTTCGAGATTGATTTTGGCCAATTTTCTGAACACCACAATGCGATCGTGCATGATGAAGGCCACGACCATTAGAGCCACCGCCATGAACACCAAACAGTCCATAATGTTGGACACCAGTTTATAAGGCCTGGCTATTTTGGTCTCAAACGTGGCCGCCTCCTTGAAAATTTCGATCGTGTTGTACACATCGTCGGCCATGCCAAAGAGATTCGCCTCGATTTCAGAAGTGTTGAACATAAGTACGGATAGAGAACGAAACATGTTGTATTTGTGTTAGGTTTTTTGAATTTTTAATTTTACAAGTATTTACTGCCTTACATCTGACAACTCCCTGAAGGCTACAAATTTAAGATATCAGTTTGAGCATTTGAGCATTTTGTTTGACATTTGACGCCAAAGAGATTATAATTTTATAAAACTTTGTCGAACATTAAATAAATTGAAATAATAATATAATATAATAATTTTCCGAAGTGATTCCCTTTTAAATTTTGAAGACATTGTTGTAACTACAAAAGCTTAAAAATTTATTACGAGCCAAATCCTTTTCAAAAATAATTGAAAAAAGAGTCTTGTATTATATATTAGTAAATTATTAAATTATTAAGTTTTATTTTATTTAAATTTGTGGTTTAAATAATTATTCCGAGCAAATTCCTTTACTAAAATTTGTTTTGTATTAATATTTAAATTTTTTTTTTTTATTCAGGAACTTAATTACTGAAATTAGTTGTTTGACCTAACGAGCATTGACTGTCCTTATTTCGCATGTAAATTTAAGATCGTGTCGTCTGTTTAAATGGGCTTTGATTTTTTTTAAAATGGGTTAAACTGCTGCCGGACACGCGAAATGTTTTGGGGGCAATGAACCGGACGTTGTCACCAGTGTCTAACGCTTCTTGTCTGTGGCAATGTACTGTATATGACCATGCAGCTCTGCATTCGCAGGACTTTTGCCGTGACAGGTGTATGCATCAGCCTGGCGATTAGGGACACCCCCTGGAGAGGGTTCAACATGTCCAATGACGACAGAGACAACAAATTGCGATCAAGATAAGATGGTGTACACGAACAACAAATGACATACGGGACGTGGGGTGTGGGTGGTTGGTCAAACACAATTGACAACATTCGACTAATTAGTGTTAATAAAACGTGTATCTCTGCCCAACTGCGTTAGATTGAAATCGAAATTGAATTTCTCAAATAAAATTGAGCTTGGGTATTCTTAGCAGAGTCGTCGAATATTGTTGAACACCCATTACAGGTAACCTCAGCCTTCTTTCGGCACCCATTCGAGCCAATGGCAGTGGCAATGGAATCGCAACTGCCAATGGAAATGGCCGGAATTCTGCAACGGAGAGTGCGAATGGGAAGCAGCTGCCCTACGAGCCCATTTCTCAGAATCTGGTTGGCATACAATCCAAGTGAGTGCAAAACCATCAACTTTGCAAATTGAGCTGTCAATAATCACTGCTCTTAGGTTTCGTCGGAGTTACTACCACAAAGTGGTGCTGGGCGGACTTCTAGCCCTCGTAATCATTCTGCTAATAGCAATCATAGTCGTAAGCCTAAGTAGTAAGTATTCACAAATATTTTCAAGTGACAATTAGACATATTCAAACGTTTTATTAAAGAAAATCGAATTAAAAACTAAATCAACTTCGCTTTTTTATAAATTGTACAAAAATATTTTCCTTTTCTACCGAAGTTCTTTATCAAAGCTTAAAACAATATTTTCCTGTAAAAACAAATTACCGCAGTCTACAGTCTTTTTAATAAGAGCAATATTAAAGCAACCGCACATTACCAATCGAACATTTTTAAAATGTATTAATGTTGCTCCTAAGTAATTGATATTAAGTAAATTCAAGTATTATGAAAATACTGATGAAATGCATTAGGCAGTTTAAATGGTCGTAATTACTTAACCACTGTTCCAGTTAAAAAACCCAGCTCGATTTGCCGGAGCAAGGAGTGCATCCGCACAGCGGCCAGCCTCATCTATGCGATGGACGAGCAGACTGATCCCTGCGAGGACTTTTACCAATTCACCTGCGGCAGGTGGGCCAACGAGCATCCGCGTCCGGATTCGGTGACCTCGAACGATTGGTTCCGGGAACGTCAGGCGCACATAATGCGCTTGGTAAGGGAATTCCTGCGCTCGAACATCACCAAGTCGGAGCCGGAGGCTGTGGGCAAGGCGAAGACGATGTATAGGGCCTGCATGGATACAAAGCTGCTGGACACACGAGATCTGGAGCCACTGGTGGCCTATATAGTGCGATTTGGTCTGCCTATACTGCCGTCGTCCTTAAATCTCACCCTGGGAAGTGGTTCTAAATTTGCATCGAAGACTGACAATGCCAGCTACAATTGGCTGCAGTCCATCGTGGCCATCAAACAACACCTGAGCATGGACCTGATCATTGGCTTCGATGTTTTTCCGGATCCCTTCAACCGCACCATCAATCGCATTGCTCTGGGAACTCCGGAGACTGACTCCGCATTTCCATTGTGAGTAGATTACATTTTATAAGTTATTCAGTTAGTTATTTTCGATTTATTACATTTTTTTCCCATTTATCTTCAGCAACAATGATGACTCCCACAAGTTACTCCGCAAGATACATCGGAAAACCATTTTTATGCAAAACAGCGATGATGAGGACGACAGCGAGGAGGAACGGGAAAGCGAAGAGGAGGAGGAAGCCAAGCAAACCAGCGCGGGAATGGCGGCCTACCTTCACTACGTCCGGAAAGTGATCGAGAAGTACTTGCTCTATGTGGATCCGAATGTCAACCAGGAGGAGGCCAGCCTGGGCATCACCGAGTTGGTCAAACAGGGCGTTAAGGTGGCTAGGAAGGTGCATGAGGTGGGTATACTATTACCAAATAACTAATACAAATAATAAATAATTACCCGCAGTTAAAAGAGGAGGCCGAGAACATGACGAAGCCCTCAAAGAACCCGGCGGATGATATTATCTACATATCCCTGATGGATCTGCAGAATCAAACGGACAAAAACATAGCCCCCAAGACTCTGCCCATTTGGGTGCGCTACATGGAGCTGATCCTGAAAGGCACCCGTCATGCGGGCAATGTCCAAATGACCAGCAATTTGACCATAATAACCAGCCAGGCGGACATCATGTATCTGCAGCAGGTGGTGGAGTATCTGGAGGAGACCCCAGCCTCGCATATTGAGGCCTATCTGTGGCTCAGCACCATTGAGGAGCTGGTGCTGCACACGTCGAGTGCGATGCGGCTGCTCCACTCGGAATACATGAGGGTGGCCATCGGAACGGAGGGCAGCACCCCGCGCTCCCTGTACTGCGCCAATGGAGTGAACAGTCTGTTCGGGATGGCAGTGAGCTATGTCCTGGCCGACGAGGAGTTCACCAGGGACAAGCTGCCGCGAGTGGAGCGGATGCTGAGCGATATTCGGCGCTCATTCGATCGCCTGGTGAAGTCCACCTCCTGGATGGATGCGGCCACCAAGCGGAGGACCATCCAAAAATCAGCCGAAATGAAGAGCTTTATTGGCTTCCCCTCCTGGCTGCGCAATGCCACCGTACTGAATGCCTATTATGAGGGGGCCGAGGTGAATGTCAGCACCCACCTGGAGAACCTCATGGACTTTGTCCACTGGCAGATGATGGAGAAGCTGAACGAAATGGATAAGCCGGAGCCCATTGGCTGGGCGACTTCGCCTTCGAATGTGAATGCCTTCCACACTTTTCAATCAAATGCAATCAGTGAGTGCACTCCATTCAGATTTAACTAACAGTTTTTTGATGCTCTGACCTTTAGTTCAATTTCTTTTTCTGAGTAAGGAAGTTTTTAATCCTGACACTATCTTTTTTTTGCAGCTGTGCCTATTGCCATTTTGCAATACCCGTTTTACGACCTTGGTCTAGAGTAAGTCCTTCCCGGAAAAGCACTGCGCACTGAGCACACAGATAGCCGAGCAAACAGAGCCTCTGGCACGTTCCCGCACCCGCACCTTGCACTAATCCCTTCCAGGAATGGCCCAAACCTTCATTGATGCGTATGTGTTCTCGGCAGGGCGCTCAACTATGGTTCGATTGGCACTATACTGGGCCACGAACTGACGCACGGATTTGACGACAGCGGCAGGAGATTCGACCGCTTTGGGAACATGGTCGAATGGTGGTCCAACCAAACCATCGACGAGTACATAAACCGCACTGAGTGCTTTGTGGAGCAATATTCCCGGTACCACCTCGCGGACATTGATGAATATGTGAGTTTTCTAGCAATCTAAAAATTAAGACTACTGCGTTTTGTAGAAATTTCTGATGACAGTTTCTTTGAAAAATTTAGCGAATATCTCTACTAAGAATTTATTCATGTTCGTACTGTTGAATTCTTAAAATAGAAATTTAACTTTTATGGAACATTTGCTGATATCAGTTTCTTTAAAAAAGAGTAGCAAATAACCAATTAAAACATTGTACTAGGAAACTGTTAACGTATTTATTAAAATACATTAATATAATTCTAGTCATAGAGAGTTCACAAACAAGATATATTTATTTATTTAATTCTAGTTAATACAAGTTCATAGACATTAATGCTTTCTACATGTAGTTGAAAAAGCAAAATGATAAATTTAAAAAAGTAACAAGACTATTAAAACTATATAAAGAAACGGCAGTTTTCTGATTCACTTTAAAAAAAGCTGACTAATTGTTTTTGACTCTAGCTTCTAATATTTTCATTTTGAATTACAAAATGTTTGTTATTTTAATATAAGTTAAGGGTTTTTTAAAGATTTGAGTAATGTGATTTTCCAAATTGTTTTAAACATGTTTTTTTTACATTTAGAAAGAACAATTTTTCATGCATGCGAATCGCTATTTTTAAAGAATTATTAAATTTGTCTTTACCTACCTTTTTCTTGAGTGTATATCGACATGTTTGCTTTTATCCCATATCCCGCAGATCGATGGCGAACTGACGCTGGGCGAGAACATCGCGGACAATGGTGGAATGCGCGAGGCCTTCTACGCGTACCGCCTTTATGTCAAGGAAGTGGGCCGTGAGCGGGCCAAGTTGCCCGGACTGGAGCACTACTCCCACGAGCAGCTGTTCTTCATCTCATTTGGGAATTTGTGGTGCGAAACGTATACGCCGGCAGCATCGCGGTACGCCCTCAGCGATTCGCATTGTCCAGGGCAGATGCGATTAAGAGGAGTCCTCTCGAATTCTGAAGAATTCGCCAGGACCTTCAAGTGCCCCACAGGATCTGCCATGAATCCCAGCCAGCCCAAGTGCCGCATTTGGTAGTGGACATGCTCAACGAACAATCAATTGAAACAGGAACAGTCAAGTGATTTTTCTACCCATTTGTACTTAAGTTAGGCATAGGTTTAGATCAATTATACAGGTGTCTTTTGCACGGTTCTAAATGGTGGTGCAATAAATGGTAAACGCTTCTCTTTCGAGTTCGCAGCTCAAATGTAGGCTTCGTTACAAGTGGGAAAACCAAGAAATCAGTATGTTCATAGCATATTTCGGGGCTGAATTTGAACTTGCTTATTGCAATCACTTATTCAAATGTGAATGTAATATATAATTTTATTTGTTACCTTTAATACGTGTACACAGTACATTAAAATCTTCATTGCGTATTTTGGGGCTTTATTTGAATTTGCTCATTACAATCACTTAATATAATGTGAAAATTGTATACTTTTTAAATTTATTTAAATATCGTTAGTATACATTCAGTAGAATTACATAAAGCGGACACTTAAAATACAGCTAAAACACTCGGAAACTCACACACGCACACATATACACTCAGTAGACATATGTCTGTGGGAGATTCGTTCTTTGGTTGTTGTTTGGTTTGTTTTCACTTAAAAGTCCGTGCTATGTACGCAATCTTTTTTGCCATTTACGCCTTCTGCACCTGACTTTTCCGCTCGCTGGACTAATGATTCGTTGGCTGAATTGGCAGCTACCGGAGTGCTGACGTCTCGGCACAAGAAAATGGGCTCTAATTCAGAGGGAAAAGTAAAAGAGACAAAAAGAAAGTTACTTTCAATTTTTATGAAATACAAAAAGGTAAGCCCATTTTCATGAAGTGTTCTTTGTGACTGTTCGTTACTCCAACTAACTTCTTTAGTTCCAAAAGAAAAAGAAATACATGTTATCATAATATTTGTCCATTTTCACGAAGCCAACATAAAAGTATCAGAGAAAACTATTTTCTGAGTTAAAATGTAAAAGAGCTGCAAGTAACATGCAAATATATCCTTTTAGGAATTAAAAGAAGTGCCCGACTTACCGCTTGCATAGAATTCGCTCGTAACTTTCGACGGGTGCTGATGTAGGTGGTGCACGTGTTCATGCGGTTCAGGTGGAATGCTGTGGCCGTTCCTTCGGTTCCACCGGTGGGTGGTGCGTGAAAACGAATAAGAAAAATATTAGAAAATGTCTGACAGCATTGCGTCCAAATCAATTAACGGAAAAATGCTAATGGTGCGTTTCATGCGGTTTTTGTTTGCGTGCTATTTAACTGGCATGCAAGGCGAACTTTTGTAACTACGGCTACTATACACTACGTATTCCAGATCGGAAGCAAGAGGCCGCCGGCAAACGTCTACACACTCAGAGATTCAAAATCAAAACAATACGGATAAACTTAGTGAAGGGGGGAGCACCTAATGCGAATTTTAGATTTCCTGACTAGACCATCACCGACTTGGCGTTGGCCCTTGATGGGCATCTCACCGGTTGGTTCGTAGCTGCGTTCGCCGCCGCTCCTCAGCAAGCGGTTCAGGCAGCAGCAGCGACGCAGGCCCGGCACGCGGTGCACTATCTGCAGGAATCCGCCCCTGAAGCGGGCGTTCATGTAGCAATAGATGATAGGGTTGTAGCAGCTGTGCGACATGGCCAGCCAGTGGAACGCGAACCACACGTACGGCAGCGGCACCCAGTGTACGAACTCCTCGTCGTTCAGCAAAAGCTGTAGGGAAAATTTTAAAACATAAGTACTTTGCAAGCAATCAAGGAGTCTTCATCCCTTTTATAAAAAAAACAAGTTTTTTCAATCGCCAACGGTTAGATAATTTAAAATTAATATCTATACTCCTTATAATATTTTTGGTGGCTAACCTGAAAGAATTAAGGAATGTGTAATAAAATTCAAACTTAGTTATGACCAAAATTGAAAACAAATATTAAATGATTCATTTTTGTTAAAAATTTTAAATAAATTGCCGGGCTCCAAAAGTATAAAAATTTTCATTTCTCATATGTTTTTTGTATGTTTTGTACCCTTTGTATACTATCATGTATTTCATAGACCTGTATAAGTGCACCCACCTGTAAAATATTGAAGGGCAGCCAGCAACTTGTAAAGACAATCACAACCGTCAGCATCATCTTAATCATCTGCAAGAGGAAGAGAAAGAAGCTTAATTAGGGACACTAAAACAGAAATTCTATTTATAGAACTGAGGACATGCACCTTGGGATAAATTCCCCATCTTTTCTTTCAGTTTACGACCTTGACCGCCCCCGCCGTTAAATCTGCGAAAGAGCATAAAACTGGGCCAACCAACGCAAGTTTATTTTTATTAGGGGGCAATGGATGGCTTTTATGACCTTTTATATCTAATTTTTATTGGGGCATCTTTAAGTCTGTGTATTGTGGTTCGCTTGGCTGCTAACAATTATGAACCGGGACCAAAATAAGGCCACGACATTGGGCCTACTTTTGTGCTTCGCAGTAAATGTTAAAGCTTCCCCTATTTTCAACAGAAAATGGTATTTGTTACCTTCCGTTTTTGACACGCAAGTTACCTATAAAATGTTTTTTTTAGTATGATGGCATTTGACACGTGAAGGCTAAGCCAAAAATCCATAAGATTAGTTTTACCTTATTACTACTACATACTTGAATGAAATTTCACTAAGTGACTCACAGGGCTTTAAGAGCACAACTTCTTTTAAAAGTTGCCCAATTCCGTTGAGTTTGCTTTATTTTTCTGCCAGAAGATACAATCGACCTCAGACAGAATGGCGAATAGGACGACACAATATACTTTAACGATTAAGTCAATGGCCACGTCTCTTCAACGTGACCACCTGACAAAACTATACATAAAGGCTTACGGCCAGAAACAAAGCCACGATAAAGATGTTAAGCGCAGTTTACACATCTGAAGTCATACACTCAAGAAATAATTTTTTACAGTTTAATATCAAATGTAGGAAGATTAATACAATAAACATAATAAGTTATAAAATACAAAATTGTTTGAAAATTTGGAAAATTGTCAAAAAGCATTAATTTAATAGTTTTACAAATGCCAATCTTTAAACAAACTATTATATCGCTCTAACATCTGGTATGCTTAATCATGCTAAATTCTTTCTTATTTTATATATACAATATAATGTTTTTGTTAATTTTAAATTTTTGAAATCTACCAAACTTATTATTTTAAGTGTAGAAGAGTAGACATCACCGTCAAAGTATTTCACTGCGAAATAAGTAGATGATAGCTAGCGATTGCCACTGCTGCTGATGGTGCAAAGGGCACTTAACTGCCAATAAACGAATCATATGCGAAATCTGAATTGAGTTCTGAAATAAGCAGACGAACAAGGATATAAATTGTATCATATTTGGATGCAAATCTTATAGCGTTGCGATGCAAATGGCTTCTTGCTCAATGGCAAAGGATTATGAATTGATTCAAATGCCGTTGGAATGCGAATCACTGTTTGTGAGTATTTTCCGTAGTCAGCTGGGTGCATCTGGCGACAGTTACTTTTTATTAACTCACCAAGTCGCTTTATTGGCCGCCTTTGTTGCGGGTCGGTTCTCCCTTCTCCGATGCAGCTCCCTCGATTCAGTTTTCAACTGCTGGGGCAACGTTAACGAGTGCTCAACGAGGCCACTTAACGTTTTAATGCCTCGTTTGTTAGCCGCCCAGCCGGGTAGTGCTAGCAATGTCAACATTAAGTATACGCCGCGTAGTTCAGGCGTCAAAGCTACAGCACGAGGAGTCAACAGAGTGAAGCCAAGCAAGCTCGTAATGAATGTTTATACAAATATGTGTATGCTGTGTTTTCCCCTGACGTCTGGACACGGGTCTTTGCCCAAGCATATGTCCGCCGACCGATGAACTCTGCCCCCAAGCTTTCCCTCCGCCCACACAGCAAAAAATGTAAATCAAGAAATAGAAAACCCGGATTTCCAACTATAAAACTGATTTACGCTTGTACTAAAAATATATGCTTAGCATTTTCAATGTTATATACTTTGCCAACTTTAGTTTGCAGCGCAAAATTTTTCTTATATTTTTCTTATATTTTCTTATATATGTGATGTAAAAAAATATAATTTTTAATCTGTTTTTTTCTCAGTGCACTAAGCGACTGTGGGTGTAAACTGCATCGTCATCTGGCGAAGGAGGAATCTTGTTGCCAACTTGGCCAACTGAAGTGCAGACTCTTTTACCATATGTCATACTATATGTGCCGGCATGAAATTTAGCGCCCGCGGCTCTAGTTTCATCTTTATTTTGGCAGTTTGTTTTGGCCACCTCAACGTGACAGTCTCACGACTTAATTGCCGGCTGCGGAGGCTGCCGGCATTAGCTGCAATCACAAGGCACTTGGCTTTTACGGTGATTTGTTTTGGTTTTGAACCGGTTACGGTTGAATCCGCCCATCAAAGCTAATGCCGCGTCTGGGCTTACATAAAAAATGAGCTCATGTTCGAGGCTCAGTACAACGGTGTGGTAATTCATCAAAATGATTGCGGACTCGCTGATGCCCACACCCACAGAAAAAAAGGGGCAACATTAGGAACTGGGCCATCAAAGTCTTAGGCTGACAAATGAGCTTGGATCCGCTGGGTCCGCTTCAATGAAAGCCGAAAGTGAGGGCTCCGTTTCGATTGGAATAGAAAGGCTGTTCATAATGAGGTGCAAAGCGTTCTCCAGTTCCTTTCCCCCAGTAATTCACTAATTAAATTTCCCAACACGTCCGTCAGAGGCAAATGTTTCCTAGTTGAAGGACCAGCTGCCTGCCTTTCAGTTTGCCTAACTAATGTGGGCGATGTTTGGCCATTTGATTGCTTTTAAGTGCAAGGAATTGAATTAAAGGGCAGCTGCATATCGACAGAAGAAATCAGTAACAGCCTGTAATTAATAATCTTAAAGATCTTACAGACATTTTATATTAAAGGGAATGTTTTGTCATGTGCACATAAATAAAACACATAAAATTATATAAATTTACTGTTTGTTTTAGATTTCGGTACACTTAACATACTTCCGTTATGAACTAAAGTTTTTATTTAAACATAACAACACCTCTTCAGTTACCAGCTTAAAAAAAGCGTATTTGTAGTTTCTTGGGCGTGTAATTTTTATTATTTTGCGTTTTTTCCATGTGCTCAGCTTAATGCCATTGAAAGTGAGTAGTGAATAAACAAAAACAGTTCGCAGAAAATTGAAAGCAAAATTTCATTCACAAAGCGGTACTCTTAAAGTCTCTCTTTTGCGTGGGAGTAGAAAACTGGTTCCTAAAAAAAATAAACAAAATTATTGGATAAAAGTAACACTGGAAACTGGATCAATTAAGGGGCCAATCTCCGCAGTTTCAGGGCTCACCATCATTAATCAATCCATTTCACTTATCGCTTAGCTCGTGCCCCAAGTAAACTTGGCCAATTCCCGGTAATTTCAACTGACCCCTGGGCACCCGCATGTCTGAGGCTGTGGTAATTGAACCCACTTTTAATTGCCAAACAATTGCGAAAGTGCCAGGCCAAAAATAGAGAAATGCTAAGCTTGTAATATTTTTGGTAATTTAAAAGCCACAACCAAAAAATCGTTAGAGGTGCGCACCCAAGTCTTAAATTGTTATTCATGAAATGGCCAAAACCAAACGGACATTAAACAATCCGCACGGTGGGCAGCCAAACTAATCAGCAACTAATTTACACAGCAATTTACAGCTGAAGTTTTTGGAATGAATTACGTACACTTAAAATTTTAATAGAAAATGTTACGGAGAACTTTTGCTAAATAAAGATATACAAAAATTTAGCAATGAAAATATAATTTCATTTATAAGAAAACAAAAATATATTAAAATATGTTGCTATGGTCTCCAGAACAAAGCCTCGTTGGACATTGGCCGCCGACAACAATAGCAGCCAGTTCCTACTCGATTTTTCTTTGAGAAAAAATTTCACTAAGCTTCATTATGAGCCATATTGGACAATAAAAGCGACAAAATTTAAGGCTAAGAATGTTTTGAGAGCCTTTGAGGAATTGCACGCGCGGATTTGGTAATTTATGCGTATCTTTCAGCGTACGTGATCCGACTTACTAACTTTTGTGACCTACATTCATTATAATTAAACCAACGCCTCCGGTGCTCAGAAGGGGCGTGGCAGGAAGCGAGTGACTAAGTAATACGCACAATTAATTTAAGGGCCCAAAGTGTCATACGCCTTTCAATTAAACAAGGAAGCCGAAATTGTGACCCCAGTTTGGGGTCATGCCAAAGCGAATATTTTTCATGGATAAGAGGGGTTGTCGTCCGTTGTGATAAAAGAATTTACTCTTCGACACGAGTCCCTCCTTGTTTGCCTAGCGTATTTCAGCAAATTGAATTTTTAACATTTTCTTTTCCCCATAAATTGACTTTTTCGCATCTGTTGAGCGTTTTTTTTTTGGGACATTATAATAATATTGTTATGATTTTTATTTCTCGGGGACATAGAAGCAATAAATGCTGTTGAAATCATTAAATTTAATTTAAGCTCTTAAATATTATATCTAAGAATTCTACTGTTTTGTATTATTTTGTAAATCTTCCTTTTTGGGAAAAGTTGGTAACTTGACAAGAACACAAGTTTCCCACATGAGTTTGATATTAAGTTTTTTAACTAAGTTGACACAAAAGATGCTTTTTAGGGCACACTTGAATCGATCCAGGTATCCCTGTTATTCTCATGAATAATTCTGCTGACTGTGTCATGGCTTATAGGAGTTTACATGCAAATTGCTAGTCTTTGTCGACTTATTTGGCAAAATAGCATGCCGGTTTATGAGGGAAAAACCGAAAGTGAAAGCTAAAAGGGAACTTTTGCGACATAGTTGTGGCCTAAGAAACATTTCAAATTGCCAAAGTCCAAGTGGGCGTGTTCGGTTTGTGGGCGGGATCCGTAAATGTTTGATTCATCTCCCATTGCTGCCAAAGACCCTTCTGGTCCGAACAATGTTCCCTATGCTAAACCCAGTTTAGGTTTTATTGCCTTTTATGCTACGGTTTATTCCTGTTTTCTCCAAATAGCCCTGCGGCCAACGAGCCATCCAGGAATATCCGTGTCAAAAGAACGCTGTGCACACACGGGGTGCATCAAGCATTTTGTTTTTCTGCATTTTACAACCACCGGATCTTAACTAATCGAAAAGAACTATTTAGAAACAAGTACCGAAGTATAAATAAATCTTAAAAAAAAGATAAAGAATAAATATTTCCTGATGTAACAGAAATAACTTCCAAATTTATTGAAAGAAAGTATTTATATGTACATGTTGGATTTAGGATTCAGATTCAGTAGTTTTTCAAAAACAAATAAGAGTTGTAAGGGGCTCAACTGAATTCAAGCCGCAGGGCTTTGTATGACGGATTGCCATTGATTGCGCGGACAAAAAGTACAGCAAAAGGTAAAGCCATGGCAAACACAACAGCAGTGGTTGAGTTTTGGCCCAGACATGCGGAAGCGAAGCATATGGCAGTAAAATATGAGGCTGGGAACAAAGGCAGCGGCACACTCCGAGTTATACTGAACCCGCTGCCTTGTAAAAGATAGACAACAGCAGCTGTTTAACCCATTTTAACCCATTCGTCAAATATCATGAAATTGATTACTATGTAAAACCTTTTTTCTCCTAAACCTTGAAAAGTTAGAAATACTGAAACAATTTAACTAGTAAAAGTTTACTTAGCAATCGGGCTTTCCAAAATTTAGAAATATTTATTTATTATTATTGTATCATTATATATTATTATTTATTTTCATTAAGTATATAACAAACAAACTCCCTCTGAGTTAATGATGGGAAAACTTTCTTTAAATTCAAATCTCATCTTTATTTTAATTTTAATGAAGCAGTGCGGCGATATGGGTTAAAGGTAAAATCAGCCAAAAAAAAGAGCAACAATTGCGCCGAAGTGAAAGTGCCAAAGTTGGGCGAAAATAAGAGGAAGAAGCTCTGACGGCAATGACAAGTCAATGCTGTCTATATACTTAAAGCATTAAAACATTGAAGCAAAAGAAAACGAAATAAAAAAGTAAACTAAAGTAAGTAAAACAAAATTAAAGCAATGGCATGTTGTAGTGTTTTCAGAGCAGTTGGTAATGACAGAGGAAAAACGAGAGCAACAGTTTGTCATTAACGAACTATGGAAGAAAGGTCAGGGCAAAAGGGGCTTCCCCTAGAAGTTGGGAACAAGATAAAGGCAAACTTTCAGCAATTGTGCAACCGGAGCCACTAAAACCGTTTCCAAGCTTTTCCACAGCTTACTGTGCAATTAAGCAGAAAGTTTAGCCGGAAACTTGGCAAAGAAACGATTCAAATTAATTCTAAGGTCCTGAATTGCTGGTCAACTGCTGTCTTCTTATACTCACTCAAGCCACAAGAGTTCGTAAAATTCCGAGTAATAGGATACAGAAGCTATTTGAATAATCACAAGAAATTACTTTTTAATTTGTTCAAAACCCACAAAACAAGAATATTCGTCTTAAAGAACTAATTGGTTTAACTTCCCTTTTCACGGAAATAATTTTGTTGGGGACAACGAGTGGAAAAACAAGGTCCGCCGGAAAACGCAAAGGTTAATCCATTTTACCCCTTAACCACTAAGTGCCGTGTAAAATGAAAACATCGTTGAGGTTTTTTTTTCGTAATTTTGTCACCGTTGTTTTTTTTATTTGTGCATAAAGTACTTAAGCCTAGTATAATTAATATATATTTATATGTATGGGGCATGCCAAGCCCCGCTAAATCATCTTCTGCTACAAATCATCAGCATCATCATCATTATTCGCTCTTCCGGGCGCCAAGCGAGGTTCCCATCCAAGGAACCCGCCCTCTTCGCCTATTAGCTAATAAAAATTTCCAGGCAGGGCTGAAGGTTAGACTCTAATCAGTTGTAGATGGAAATGCACAGATGTGAAAGATGAAAGGACAGAGTGAGAGTGAGAGTGGGAGTGGAGAAAGGTATTATATACAAAAGGTCGTGGGCGAAAGCGCCGCCCCCTCTGAAGGTGAGATTGAGATGGTAGTCTGAGATTATTCAGGTGTCACATGGTGGTCGAAGATCGTGTGGTTGTGGTAAATGTGATGTGAATGATTTGGTTCTCAAGTGAGAAATATAGGGGCGTGTCAACGACAGGACTAGTCAGCAGCTTGAGCCGAGTTCGAAGTTCGTAATTTTGAGTTTTACCAATGGATTGAAATCACTTAGTAGGGACCGGACTTTCCGGGGGGTCCGTAGTTGCTGGAGGGGGCCGAAATGGAGCCACTGTCGCCGCCGGTGAAGCCCGAGTCGCCGCCAGTGGTGTAGCCACCGCCGCCAGCATTGGTCTGGGTGAAGCCACCGGTGGAGCCGGAGATGCCGCCGGAAATGCCGCTCGAGTCCTTCTGGGTCTTGTACTTGATGAAGTACACCTCCGGCTTCGAGGGCTGCGTGGGTGCGGGCGTGGGGATGACGATGTCCTGCTGATCCTCGGGCTTCTTCACCAGCACGTAGACCAGAGTCTTCTCTTCGTTCTGAGGCTGCAGTGGGATGACCGGAGCCTGGTACGAGGGTGGCGATGGGGCCTTGATGAAGATGATCTTGTAGTGCTTCTGGGACTGGCCAATGGGCAGATTGGGGCGCTGGCGAACCTCCTCCTGCTCTGGTGGCGGCACATGCACGTAGATGTGCTTCTGCACCAGGGTGGTGCCACCCCCGCCGCCGCCTCCAAATCCGCCAATGCCGCCGCCTGTAAATATGTTTTCATTTATAATTAATGGGATTTTCTAATGGGATTTATGGCTTGCGAATCACGCACCTCCTCCGAATCCGCCGCCGCCGCCGGAACCGCCTCCGAAGCCACCTCCGAAGCCACCGCCGCCTCCACTGCCGCCGCCGAAGCCGCCGCCGCCGCCGCTGCTACCGCCACCGAAGCCGCCACCTCCAAATCCACCGCCGGAGCTACCGCCGAATCCGCCGCTGGAGCCACCGCCGAATCCTCCGCTGGAGCCACCGCCGAATCCGCCGCTGGAGCCACCGCCGAATCCGCCGCCTCCATGGGAGCCACCGCCGGAGCCGCCGCCGCCACCAGGACGGTTGTAGTTGTAGCCCGCTTCAGGACGAGCGGCGGCCAGCGCCAGACAGGACATTAGGATGAAGGCTTTCATGGCTGCGCAATCACGGGTTAACGGTGCGTATGGGTAATGGATACTAGTTGCGGATGCGGATCACACGTCTCTTTTTCACAACGCACTTTAGCACTTGGCACTATCTCTCACAGTAATCCTCGGTCTGTGGGTGTTTCGGTGTGTTTGGATATATAGGTATATATATGTTTGTTTGGGAGAACAGAAAAAGAACGTGGATTTAGATATACGGTTGTCTGAGGGACTGAGCTGGGTTGCTATATGAATCCTCACGTTGCTATATCCTCGGATCGCACTAGGCTGCTGTTTATTAGACCAAATCAAATGCTTCACTGACGAACCATTGCAGCCGCATCACAAATTTATACAGAAATCCAGCCAGATGCACGACACCACTACAAACACATGGCAGTTGTGTCTGCGAGAGGGTCGCCGCTTCGGTTTTGTTTTTGGTTTTTGGTTTTTGGTTTTAGTTTTGGTGAGGATGATGATGATGGTGATGCGACTTTGCTTTCTGGGCACTGCGCATGCGTGGCGAGCTGGCCAATAATGAGGCGCTGTCTTGGCCATCTGTCTGTGTCTCTGACTGCAAAAGTATCTGTATCTTCAGCAGTATCTGCATCTGTATCTGTGGGGTTAACGTCTGTCTGTGTGGGATGGCAAGTGAAACCGAAATTACCGCACAATCAACTTATTACAGCACCGCCGATTTCCCGCTGTCGGATGTGCTGGAGAGCTCTCTCTGCTGCCGCTCTTTTTGGCCAGGGTATTTCTTTTATGTTTTATGTTTTTATTTTCGTTTTTGTTTTTGGCAAAGTCGAGACCCAGTGTCGTGCACTTTCGCTCTTTAACGCTGCTGGGCTGAAATTTCTGCCGTTGCCGTTGTCGCTGCTGCTGCCGCTGCTGCCGCTGCTGCCGCTGCTGCTGCTGATGATGATAGGTTTAAACCGATCCCGCACTTGAGCGTCAGCTGGCCTGGCGAGCGGTGGCTTTCCTGGCGTCTGGGTCTGAAAATTTCTGCACACGCTCTCAACGAAAGTGAAAATCGAAAGAAAACTCCCGAAGACTAACAACAATGGTAATGGTAATTTCGAATAATTTGAGGTCTGTGCTAGTGTCTGTGGATCTTTGGATCTGTGGATCTCTGGGCTGGCATTGTGTTTTATTTCGAAGGGGGTACACATTTCCCTACCCCTCGCATGACAAATGTGAATACGTGCGATGACGGATGACTGAGTGAGTGCGATTGTGATTGCGATTAGCGACTGGAGACTGGCGACCGAGTGTTTGTAAGTGTGCCACTGTGCGAGGCCTACAATCCGGAGATTCGCACAGATAAAGATATAGTTAAACTGGGTTGGTCGTGTTTGGAGTGCGAAAGTTATTGCCAGGCGGGATCGTTTTTATACCCAGACATCCTTGGTGTTGCAGTCATGACACATAAATCAAAAATAATGTTAGCTCTCGAAGGGGATTCGTTTTTGAAACGATAATGACAATGGTTCCTAATGTCGGGTTACCAAATTTTTGCTGAGAATTGCATTTGTCACACCTCAAAATTAAATGTTGTACGGTTTGTATGTTAAAATATATATTTTCCTTTAGCTAATTATTTCCACATAAATATTGTGTCATATTCCATTTTTTTACAAAATGTGTCATTTATTAATAATAAAATTAAAAATTCAAGTTGTCAGTTTCCATACAAATAACTATCGTTTTTCACAGCTGCCATTTAGTTTACGAATAAATCATCGTTTTTCATTATGTTGATTACATTATTCCCACTATTACCAAGCTCAAGCTTATAGAATTGATGTGTTGCGTAATTCGATTTGAAGTCGCTGTAAACAAAATAAAAATCGTGTTAAGTGGCCAGACTCAAGAGTCAAATTTAATGTTACTTTTATTGTACGTAATGTCATCAATGCCGATTTATTTCACTTCCACTTTTCGTATTCAGTCGGCTAATTGTGTTAAGTTTAATGAAGTGGACTGGTAGATCGGACCAACTTTACGTTCAATGAACCGAATACAAAGCAGAGAAAGGTGACAGAGAGCCAAAATCGAACCAGCATTTAATTAAATGGCAATTTTGGGGTCAGTAATTTCATTGTAGTCATTACAGTGCGATTCGATGCAGTTTTCAGTTGTATTGTGTCGGCTTTTTTTGAAGTTCATGGAACAAAAAGAATGGCAACCACATAAAATGGTAATAAAAATTTACATAAATAAATATTAAAACGTAGGAAAGTCCATGGGTGGTAGAGTTACCCCCTGAATAAATAAAGAAAATTACAGTAGTTGGTATAAACATTTCATTAACCGTTTAATGGCCCAAACACCTCTTACCTCTAAAATCAATAAGCTTATTTTACTTTTGGACACATCAGAGGTTTGTTTGACACTGTTTTCGAGACCACTCGATTACTCATATTTGTCCGCTAATCCTGGCAATTAAATCCGAGTGCTCATGAATCGTGGCAATTCATAAACGACACTTGACAAACGACTTTGGGGATTGGGTGTATATAATTACCACCTGGTGGGGGGAAACGCAACTCCGCCTTTTGATGCGTGTGGATGTGGATGTCGAATCAAATTCGCTGATGATCGCGCTCTTAGGAATAATAATAATAAAAATTAAAACGCAACTGCAGTCAGCTGTCAGCTCAGCACTGTGTTTCCTATTGCGATTTCACCTTGAATCGCTCTCGCTGATTGCGTAACCAAAGCCTAAGTTGCAGCTTCGGGCCAAGTTGAGCCAGGAGCAAGAGCCACCAAATGCCATATGCAAACACTGTCTTGGCTAACGAGCGACGAGCGATTTTTCGTGTATTGACAAACTTGCGGCTGCAATAAATTGCTCGGTTTGGGAAACGAAATCGAATTTCCAGCCGAAAAATCCGAATTAAACCGAAATAAAAGCCTGGCGAAACAGCACCCTCCACCAAGGAGCAATCAGTGGCTGTTGAATCTGCAACTCCGCTGCCTCCGAAGGCCAGTGGATGGATGGGAATGCAAATCGGAGCGGGAATCCAAGTTCGAGTTCACATCCGAGTCCCCGGAAAGCGGTCGCCTTGACTTTTGCCTTGGAATAACATTTGAAAAAATGACTTAATTTTAACAAGGAATTTTCCAAATGTGGATTGTAAGAATATTTCCTATCGATATGCATTCAAAGATGAGATAATATTTTTTATCAACACCTTAATTATCACATCTCCAAAATGGAAGTTTTTAAACAAATGATTATAAAGAGTTAATAAAACAAATTTAAGCTCTTTTTAGCAAAGTTACTACAAAATTCTTTTTAAAATGTTTATTTATTTTAATCCCGCAAAAATCTAATGTTCTTAATGTTTAAGTTTGAAATTAATTAATTCCATTAAGAACAAAAATAGAAAAGCAAACAGTTGGTTTCCAAAGATTTATTAAGTACTGGATAAATATTTTAACTGAGAACCGATTTTAAAGAGCATTCACTGGTCTAAATATTGGGCACATGCTTTTCTTCTACCATTTAAACGGTTTTCATTCAACTTCCGAATGCCGTTGGAAAAAAAGCGCCAAAAGCGCGCCGATCGCCAAAAAGCAACCGCAGCTGGCGATAAATCTCACGCTCAACAATGCGGCTAAAAATAAGCAGCAACGGCGTTCGGCGGTTGGTCGACAGAGGCTGCCAAACAGTCAATGGGGGGCACAATGCCTTGGGGACGTTAAAAAGCACTTAAATTGGAGTAAAGTCAACTGGGTGAAATTTAGTGTATTGGAGTAACTCACTCAGTTAATTCAACTTAGCCACAAGCTTTAAAAGTGTTGCAAAATAAGATGAATAGAGTTGGAAAATTTTGGAAGTTAGTAGATAAGTTGTTTAATTTTTGATTTAAATACAAATTGTACTCTCCCACTAAAGTATGTATTTACCATTATTTATTTTGCAAATAAACTTCAATTATATGCTGTTTCCTTAAAATGCATGCAATTATAATTTTATGTTTAAAGGCAATACGATATTCGTGGTATTTACACATCATTTACCAGCTCTATGCAAACACAATGTGCCAGAGGAAAATTTGTTTACTCAGGCATCTCAACATTTCTGCAATTTCAGTGACTTGAACTTTATTCGCAACGATGACGCCTCAGTGGGTGGCACAGAAAATTAGAGTTGCATAAAAGATGCCACGATACAATATTTTCAGGTTGACACTGAAAGATAAAGCTCACGCAATGGGGCAAAAAAATACGGGAGCATCCCTGGGAAGTGGAAGTTTTTTTTACGGGGCCCGGTCGGCGGATGATGGGTAGGAAGTCGGCGACGACGACGACAGTTGTTGCTTCCTGCATCCATTGTCGCTGGTTTCTGCCGGTGGGCATCTCCCCATCCCCATCCCCATCGCCATCCCCATCCTACCCCCGTTTGCTTTTCCATCTGCAGTCTGCCCAGCAACACTTCCTGCTTGTTAGGCAAACGGCGGCGTGCAAATTTTTTATTGTTGAATGCGATTTCTGTTTAAGCTGTTTGCGTTTTCTTCGTTTTTGCAACCGTCTGAAACTGAACGGTCTCGCTGTTTTTACATTTGACATTTTTGGTGTTGCTTCAGTTGGCGCATTGCATGTTGCTGCCGTGTATGTTGCCGCCAGCGTCAATTGCATCTTCCATCTGGCCGCGATCGTATCGTCGCATCGATTCGCGATCTGCAGACTTATTATTTATTGTATGTTCGTCTGTCCAACAACTCGAGATGTTCGCTTCAATTGAAAACGTTGCTATGCGAACTCTTCTGCCGTCGCAAAAGTTTGCTGTCGCTCACTTTTAAATGCTAATCAGTGTCAACGACTTTTTTTTTGCAGATTTGGGTTTTATTTCTGGGTTTTTCGTTTAACGGTTGACCATTTGGCAATTCAAACAACTCGGCAATTATCTAAGGTCGCTTGCAAATGAAACTGTTGATGTTAATGTATGATAGTGAATGGGCCATTTCGGAGTGCTTAGCAGTCTTTAGGCTTAATTAAATGTTTGCTATTAACCTTCATTTGTAGGCGGTAATTAAAAGTGGTTTTCTGTGTCTGAAACAAACTTTTGCCATTGCATCCAAATTTAATTCGGATTTGCAGATGTCGACGACAGACGTAACGTCTCCAATAAATCCTTATATACTGTAAACAATTTACTTATTTCTCTACTTCAACAAAATCCAATTCTTTTACATCGCACCTTTGCGTACTCGGGAAGCCGCATTTCCTTCGTGGCTAAAAACATGTTTGCTACATAAAAAAAAATTCCATTTTTCTGGTTAACACAAAAGCCGTCATCCTTTGCAACTGCTGACTTGCATTTACTGGCTCCCATTTTAGAAGCCACAAGGAACTGTTC